TGATAAATGGTTAGCAGCATCATTGCGCAAGCACACATTGCTGGGTTGATGTTCTCCGCGAGTACGCTCGAGTTCAATGCCCAGCTCTCTGGACTCGGCGCCAACGATTCTAATTGGCCAAAAAACAGCACGAGCGGGCCAAACTGACCAGTGCGGGTGTTGCGTTCGTGAAGTGCAACACCCGCATTGGCTACAAGGGTTTTGCGCTCGTTCATTGGTAGAAATTTGAGCTTATAGGCACGTTTATAAGGTACCACAGAGGTATACAAAAAACAGCATGAAAACAAGAGCTGAATGCCATGTTGCACAATTGCCGCGCGCACAGCACCGCTTGCATAGTACCGCTTGCACAAGATCGCCACGTCATATCGAACTTCCTCCTTCTACTCTTCTCTTTCTTCGATTTAACCCTCCCAGACCTAAGAAATCCGACCGTTTAACAGGCACACGTGTGTTATAGTCCCACCACTTAAGGGGTAGTCACCGAGCAGATGGTAACGTTACAGTGCATACCAGTAGGTGGTTTGTTTGTCGATCAACGACATCACCTCATTGGACACGGAACGCCGATCCGCCCACGCTTTCTCCAATATACCATGATACATGCAATGGCATCAGCGGTCCATGACAGCTCTTTTCGCATTCTGGCTCTCTGTGAGGGCACCCCATTTTTTGCTATCATGGACGCTGCGGCTGTCACATTCGTATGCTGTAACGCCACGTGTAGTGGGGTCCTATCAGAACGATGCGCTTGTTCGGGCCTCATCCTGCTGGTTTCTTTCATTGACTGGCGTGTAAGACAATGGAATCGGCCTACTGCATTTTCCTGCAAGACGGTCGTAGCTGTTTACGCGTCGCCGCTGCAGTCGAATGTCCCAAGTCGACTGCATTCGCAACGGATGAAACCAAACTTTCGCTGGGTGGCGAACAACTTGTTTTCTATGGGTGGCGAGCAGCTGCTGTCATACACCAACTCGGCCTACCACGGATCTTTCTGTGAACATTCCATTGTCCACGCAGCATCGGTCTATTACAGTCATGCACCCTCGCCATTGGTTTCGGTACACTGGCTGCTTAGAATGATGGTAGATGGACGCGAATGTAGGCGATCCCAATCAAGCTGATCAAAGGCCGTCCGTCACACAGTCTTGAATTGGCTTGATCGCAACGTCTTTGCAAACAATGCTATCGAGCCCCACAAACGACGATACGTGCGCCTATGCACCGAGCTCGACGCCAAAAGCCAGCGCGCCTCCAGTCTCAAGGACGCCGTCAAAGTGCCTCTCGCCAAGCTCTTTTCGTTTGCTGACAATACGGACAACGGTCCTCACTCGCGCTCGGT